ACCTACCGTATGAGCTGCTATCGCGCCTCTCTCGGCACAGCCTGTTTCAAAATCGCCACGGCAGTTGAGTAAGTCTACCATGTTGTTCCGTTGTCCCACTACCGTACACGTGCAACATCAAAAGCACGGGAAGCTTGCGTGGAAACTTTCTTTGTAGGTATCAAACAGAAACAGTGGGTGATTCCTGCCCTTGCTCCGCCTTCCTCCCAGACCAGAAAAGTCGCCTGTAGAAGTGGTGGCTTCCCCACCACCCTACAGTACCTTACCTCCATCCAGTACCTCCTTTACGGTCGGGGTCGTTTGTAGAGAAATAAATCGCAGCGGTCGCAGGCAAATCCAACAAAAATGAGTTATGCTTACATCCAATGAAATACAAGGACCCGGAAAGATCCTCACGAACCTCTGAACAAAATGCATTTCTGGAAAAAAAAGTCAAGATGAGTAGGGCAGAGCAGAACGCATGTACTAGAACATCGTGCCATGTGCGTCACTGTGAGATCGAAACCGAGTCGCCGAAACTACTGCCGTAGGCCTACAGTATCTTTCACTCACTGCTGTACATCTTTACTTCAGAGGCAAGCATCTACTCAAATCAACACGACGAACGCGGGGGTGTTTGTCGTCGTCCGGTGACTAGGCTCCGGTACCGTGGAGCCCGTCGACCCTGTGGACTCCTCGTACCTAGGATGCTTCTCGGACCCACGAGATGACCGCATGTTTGTGCGCACTGTATCGTCGGACGGTATGACCGCGGAGGTGAGCGAAAACGACCGATACACGGAACATCGCGCTGAGTAGAATGATGTTGGCGTGTTCGTTCGTGTTGTTGTGTTGAAGCTGTGGCACCCTCTACCGTTCTGCCCTGGGAGTCGAGCCTGTCCGTTCCCTTGACCCTCTTGTCATTGGTTATTGCTGTCAGATTCGTGGAACTGCTTTACAGAACCTGCCAAGCTCCCTTGAAATCGTATCGTCGTCGACCCCGACGCGCCACCGCCACACCAGGCGCCTCGATCCTACTAGTGACTATGTCCCTCTCACCCCACTTGTCCGGACGATCAACATGGTTTGGCATATCCAAACACACGATACGAACGACCGCAGGTCTGCTCGGCGCTCTGCGCCGACTCCGCTTACTACGGGACGCAGTACTACCATGAGGTAAGGTCAAAACAATTGAAGCTCTCACAATTACGGAAAACCCTTGGGTTGTTCAACAGAGACACTACATAAATGTTAACTAGTCTAAATGATTGATGGCGGTTTATTTTGCGATGTTGGAATCCCGAGAACCCTCAAGACTATTCATTCATGCATGACCTGCCCCAGTGAGAAGCAACGGTTGACGTTGATGGTCACACTCTTTCGATCCTGTTTAGTTTTCGGACGAATATTGTTCGGGTTAGCTCGTGATTGTTGACGTTCGTTTCTTTGCATCAATGAAGAGTACAGGAGAGGTAACCCTAGAGCAAGGTTCGACGGGTTGTACCCGGTCTGAGACAACAGACGCAGAACAACATTGCCAACGAGGCTGGCGAGGCGGTATCATGGCCTTGCATTTGCCATCTCCTTTCGAACCACCAACTTAACGCAGGTGTACCAAATGAGCATTCCAGAATCGGTGAACATCTCAACACCCCTGCAACAGAAGCAAGGGTTGCCCCAAAACCACACGCAAGGTTTAGTGCCATCATCGAATGACCCGGAATGGACGGTTTGGCTCATGTTTTGTCACGTGACATGGGGTTTACACCATGCCACAAGAGCCAACTTCACGGTTGGGATTCAAATGGTTTTTATATCGTGCCCATGTTGCATCGAGTTTCCTTCAACGGGCGAATTAACCGATGGAAGACAACAAGTGCTATGAAGCGCAGTCGACGATTGTGAGAGACCAGAGCCAAGGAAAGTGGCATGCGAATCGATGAAGATGCCTGCGTCCTTCTTCTTGCCGCCCTGGTCTTCTTGCCTGTGGCTTTCGCTCTTGCCCTGTCACCACTACCGCATCAACCTATCCGGATTCCGATCCATTTAAGCCTGAAGCTCCAACTCGAGCTCATGCGACCGGTTCGTCACCATGGAACAACAACCCCCCTCCTCTTCCCTTTTCGCGTGTATTCCGTCCTACCCACCCGCGGTGGTCGTGTACGTTCTGCCTCCAACGACAGTGCTGGTGCGGCGCCGACACCGCCGACTATGATGCTAACGGCGCCGGCGTCTGCGAGTTGCCTTGCACTGGCGACTCTAGCGAGATATGTGGAGGCCACCATGCCATGTCGGTCTACTCGCACGGCGTGGTCACCGTCGACCCTGTGGACTCAATTTACCTCGGGTGCTTCTCGGACCCGGAAGAAAGACGCATTTTCATGCGCGATGAATCCTCTGATAACATGACCGCGGAGGTGAGCCCAACCGACTCCTCTCACAGAGTAACCGCATGTTGTTTCTGATGAGCGCGTCATGTCTTCGTCTGTACGTGTCGATCGTGTTAACGGTATTGGACCCTCTGCCGCGATGCGCCCTAGGTGTTCTGCTTGCCTGTTGGCTTGATATTTTAGTTGCTGCTGTCGGAGCCGGGCCAATGGTCGACAGACGCTGTCAACAAATCAGGTTTTGACAGGCATAGACGGTACAAACTGTTGGGTATACAGTGAAAACCAACGAAACATCAGAGGCATTTTGGTTCCCGTCTTCTGGGGTCCCGGATTTGAAGGATACGTTGGAAGTTGTCGCGTTCTCGAAGAGTTCGCGTGCAAGGGGAGACCCGCTGAACAGCGTGGAATGGGAGAAGTACATCGCAGTAGTAGTTGAACGGAGAGAGGGGGGTACTAGGGATTGGTCGGCTTTGGCGGCCAGCGGCGTTCGTTCCTACCCATCCACCCATTCTCTTTCGAAGGAGAGGGAGGAAAAGGCGTACAGTAGGAGGATGGAACAGTACCATGTGGGGATTTGGTCGTCTGAGGGAGTCCCCACACCGATGGAAACAGAAACTCCGGGGTGCTATTCGTAGGGGAGACAGAGAGAGACAGCAGTGATGAAAATAGCCACAGAGGGCGCCTGCGGGACGCGTATTCTGCCAGTTTGCTTTCTCTTCCCTCGTATTGAGGATGCATGAGCGTATTTGAGGCATTTCAAGAGAGTGTCATAAACGTTACCCCGCCATCAACACTGACGAGCCACCGCCACACCAGGCGCTTCCATCCTACTACTGTAGTAACCCCTGCCCTCTCACTCCGATTGTGACGATCAACGTGGTTTGGATTGACCAACCACACGAACGATACGAACGAATGCAGGCCTGCGCCGTGCAATGCGCCGACTACGCGTACTACGGGACCCAGTACTACCATGAGGTAAGCTCGGCATTGAACCTCTCATTACAATACTCGCGAAGCAAGTGCGCTGTTCAACAGGCGGAGATGATAAAATGAACCGTGGTCGGACCGATTGGTGAAACATACACTGTAGAACCCCATGGGCCCCTTGCGACTATCCAGTTGTGCTTGCCCTGTACCAGCGAGAAATAGTTTGTGGGGTAACTCTTTGGGTCCTGTTTCGCATTGCAATGTTCGTTTTCGGGTTATCTCGTGACCATGAATGTGAATTTATTTGCATGAATGAAGAGCACGCAGAGAATATGTTGGAACAAGGTCAGACCTGTTCTCGTTGTGAACAGCAGCTAAATGCCACCAAGGCTGGCGAGGCGGTGTTTCGGCTATGCTTTTAACCTTTCCTCTCCTGAAACCAACCGTATGCCGGTGCATCAAATGAGTACTGCGAGATTGTTGAATTCGCAAAAGCCTCTCTGCAACCGATGTACGGATCACCACACACCCACATGCACGGTTCAGTGCCGTCACCATACGGCCCGTAGAGGGCCGTTTCTTGATTCGTATCTGTCAGGTTTGCACCATGAGCACGCATCCACTTTGGTTCATTAGTCGTGGTCATATTGGTTTGCTTTCACTGAGAGGGTACATTGGTAGCTGGGGAGACCAAGAGTGCTTGAAAGTGCAGTCGCTAGAGCCGAGCATGGTGACGAGCGGATTGACCGACGCTGCATTAATTTCCTTAGGGCCTAAGGACCTGCCGCCTGTGCTTCTTTTTGCCGTGTCGTTCGTCCTTTTCCGTTTTCATTCGCTCGCCCCCGGGCACCGCCACCGCACCAATCTGTGTGCCCCTCCTTTCCGTCAAGCCTGACACGCTCCAACTCGAGCCCATGCCATCGGTTCGTCACCATAGAACAGCAACCCCCCTGCTCTTCCTTTTCGTTTCGCTCCTTTTCCTCCTTCCCACCGGTGTCCGGGTACCTCCCTACCCGTGGTCGCCTTGATCGTTCTCCCTCCGATAACAGTGCTGGTGCGGGGACAACGCCCACTACGATGCCAACGGCGCCGGCGAGTGCGAGCTACCCTGCGCTGGCGACTCCGAAGAGACCTGCGGCGGTCACTTCGCCATGTCGGTCTACACGCACGGCGTGGTCACCGTCGACCCGGTAGACTCAGTGGATCCCGCCTACCTAGGGTGCTACTACGACCCGTCCGACGATCGCATTTTCATGCGCGATGACTCCTCTGATGACATGACCGCGGAGGTGAGCAAGACCGACCGGGGCGCGCTTTCGATGAGTAGTGCTTGGGTCGTTTGTCTTACTAACGTAATCTCTGCTTCTCGGAATCGGTGGATTTGTTGTCGCCACGGAAAATTGCTTTTTGGCCTTTCGGCGAGTAGGGCAGAGGAAGTACAAGACAACGGCCATGCGTTTTCTTCGTGTGAACGATAACCATACTCTACGCGGTTTTTTCGCAATATTGCCTCTGTTGTAGTTGTAGTTTGTTGTTATTGGTGTCATCGTCGTCGTTGGCTAACGATGTCCACATCGCAAATGGGTTCCATGCCTTTCCAAACCACCGTCGACACAAACTGCCACCAATTCACCCCACGATGTACGTGTTGTTCCGTGTCTCTGCAATAATGTGCCTGTCACCCCTTTACCCCATACCCGAACTATCGTCCCTCGTTCGGCAAATGTCCAAAACCAAACGACCGTAGGTCTGCTCAGAGCTCTGCGCCGACTACCTCTACTACGGAACCCAGTGGTCGAGGGAGGTAAGATCTCATTGACAAGAGAGCAAAAGAGCAAATTGTAGGGAAACCTTTGGGTCTTTTCAAATGTGCTGTTCCGGTGAGGTGGTATTGTGTGTATTGCGGTCGACTCGCAAAGGAAATGCCCGTACCCTCTGCCTTGACTGTATCGATTTCCAGAGGCGTAACATGATTCATCTTCATCTTCACAGATTAAGCATGTATCCTTTCCTTGGTCGTCTTTTCCAGCTTCTTCGCCGGTATCAAATGCCACAAGTGGCAACAGCCGCCATGGACGGACGTTCCCAACCAATCGGGGTTCCTTGGGGGGGGCTTCGATATATTTGGGTATTTCGTACCATGCTCCCCTAGACCACAAGCCTCATTATTCCGTTAAAGTCAATGCGAAGGACACGCCAAGCTACACGTTTGGACTCAATAGTCTCGGTGACCTGTTGTGTGTAAAACCGAGCACTCGCGCTTCGTCCAACAAACGAATTGGGGATACGCGGTAGTCGAACGGTTTGCACCAGACCGGAAGAGGCGGAATCTCCCTTCCTACACTTTCCCATTCATGTCTTACTTTCACCTCTCGGGATACCTTGCCCCACCCAGCTTCAGCGGAAAGCTGTCATTCATGTTCTCCTCCCTCCATGAACGCCACCTTACTGTGCTATTTGCTACGCCTTCGCGCAACACAGTGCTGGTGCGGAGATAACGCCCACTACGACGAACACGGCGAAAGCGAGTGCGACATGGCCTGCACGGGTGACGCCTACGAGATCTGCGGTGGTAACAACGCCATGTCGGTCTACAAGAACGACAAGTACACCGAAGAGCCCGCGGAGTTCTCGTGCTCCGGCGACACCGGAGTACTGAAAGGCTCTTCGTGCTGCGAAGCCGACTGCGGCGCTTGCGGAGGTTCCGGTTGCAGCAAGCGTGGCTCCGGCGCCGATTCGTGCTGCACCTCGAGCATCCAGGCTTCGAAGAAGTACTGCTCTGACACCTTGGCTGCCCCGTGCATCGTCTGAGCTTACCTTCCCTACACCAGAATGGTCACATCAGGTGAGCCCCAGGGCTCCGTCCCCACCCCCGCGTGAGTTTCAGCCCAGATTTCAAGCACTGCTGTGAACATTGAAGGTGTTCGCATTAGTTGGACCAGAGCGAGTGTTATACGGTACTGAGCAGAGACCGGTTTCTATTGTGGGAAGACAGTAGCAAGCGCGATCGCCGTTCGGTTGGCCACCGAAACAAATCTTATCGTGGTACTGTTTACCGATGGAAATACACGGTAGCATTGTCTTATCGTACCGTTGGTTTCCTTCATTAAAACCGTTGCCAGGGTCTGCCTTGCTTCTCGTTGCTGCCGACATAGACTTCGTGTATCTGTCGCCGACCCCTCTCTCTGAGTGCAGACAGTACAGACGTTTCACCATGCCGCTGCGCCCCGGACCGATATTTCGACGGCCCTAACACCACATTTCAGGCCCCTCGCGGAACTGGCCGTGTCGACGAACTTGGCCACGCTACAGTAGCGTTTCTTCTGTGCAAGTTCGGAGAAGTTCGGCGCTACTGGTGGTGTCGTTTAAACACCTCCGAAAAATGTGGTGGAGTGTATTTTTCTTGGTGAAGAGGTTCGTGTGATGATTTTTTAAAAGTGAAGGGTACATGTACTGTGTCTTCTTAACAATTAGACTACATGTAGACGTGTACTGTAGTCTGATGATAGAATGCACGTGACGAGTGAATGTAAATTGCCAAGAGTGCTGCAGCAAGTGTTTACACGTGACCCAAGACATGTATTATAGGGGCGAGATGTGTATTGATAGATGCGTGCACGGGGTTGAGACGTTTTGAGATACGCATCGACAGCATGTTGTAACGGGGCGAATAGTATGTGTCGGCGTAGCCGACAGATTTTCTGTGATCAGTTGTCAACGCGGGATAGAGGTCAACAAGGCCCTAAAGCCCGGTAGGGACAGAAGAGTAGGGGAGGGTGCAGGAGACAAGCACCACATCTTGGTACGGAAACCAGGACTGGTTGAGCGGAGCGCCTATGCACTGCACGTGGTGGTGTCACCGGCGGGTGATCGGAGCAAAGCCCGGTCTTGCCGACAGGTGTTCCCCGTGACTATGGAAGAAACCGGACTTGTAATATGGCTTCCGCAGTGAGGCTCGCATTTGGCACAAATGTTGGAACCACGTCGTCGGGAAGCGTTTTATCCTCAACGAAATGACATCGCTTGTCTCTTTCCGTGCCTCGACTGCACGAAAAGAGGTGTACGATCTTGAGACCATCCCCGACCTTCAGCAGGTCCCGCTGCGACCATTTCAAAAACATCCGTCCTGCGGTCAGCCGAAGGGTTTCTTCCCGCGGGGGAGGCCCTTCTGTCGCCGCAGGCGGCCTCACCGGATCCAAAACGCTAATCATGTGATCGGCACCCTGAGTGATACCTCAAATCGCTCACCCATCCCCGGGTTTCCAGACATCAATTTCTGGTTCGCGTGACCACCACTTAAGTACACCGCGCCGCGGGCGGCGTGCCGTTGGAAAGAAGGGCGCCGCTTGTCACTAGGCTTTTCCCGCGTAGGCGACCGCCGAAAACACCGAATTCCGAAATATGTCGCCGTAAAAAAAAAATGCCCGCCGAAAAAAAAAACTGTCGCCGAAAACCAAAAAGTAGGGCCGTTTTTGGAGGGGGCTACGCCGAATCATGGATTGAGGTCGCCGATTCTCGCCGATTAATTTCACGGTGCCGATTAATTTCGAAGATGCCAACAGCGGTGGCGGCGGTAGCGACCAGAGCGATGGCAGCGATGAAGAAAGCGACTGATGACCTGTGTTTCGGTTAGTTTCGTGTAGATGTCTTACTTCTTCGTAGTTGGTGGGTCAGTACCTGTCATGATATGCATGTTTTTGCCCGGACGTAGGCGTACATGCCATCCATGCGTAACGTCGAAGTATCGAAGCATCTCATAGTATTCTATTTCGTTGTTGATTTGTTTGATAACTGAGGGCTTGGAATATTGCATGTACGCACCAACCAGCGTAACATGCAAGATAGATGTAGTTTGTAGAAAAACAAGAGAAGGACGAAGGACACATCATTTCGGTTTTCGCGGACACGTGACAGGTGACCTCCGCAGCAGTCCAACCGCGTCGCGACCCGCTCGTTTTTGTTACTGGAAGTACATGCTATGTACGTCGTCGAAAATCGCCAACAATCACCGAAACTGAACTATGACTCGCCGAAAAACATGTGGAAGGCGCCGAAAGTCGCCGAAAAAGGCGTTTTTTGCACTAAAAAAAAATAGCCGAAAAATTCCGTGAAACGCCGCAAAAAAAAAAAAAACATCGCCTACGGGGGAAAAGCCTACTTGTCACAAACCTTTCGTACTGTAAAATAGTTGGCGCGACGCTGTGCCTGATTCTCCAGGCCTGGTATTTCGAAGAGTTTGTTCGTGAGGTGGATTTTGTCATCCTTGCGATGAAGGCTACCGCGGTAGTACTCATGTATTCATCATATGGTTTAAGAAGATAGATGTGTAAGAGTTACGATGCCATGGACGTGGATCTTAGGGGTATCTTCAGACGTACGTATCTCTCGCAAGTTGGAATATTGTATTAGTTCCGTGTTCCGAGTTGCGGAGGGTCTTTTCGGCGGTGAATTTCCTGCGAACTGGTGCTTGCGTGCGTTGATGCTATGGTGCACATGGGACATGGTGCGTTCCTTGTCTACGAGGGCAACCTAATAAACGACTTCAACCATCATCTCTTCATTCCTGTCAACCGGGTCAGCCGGCGTACTTGGTCAGCCGTGCTTGTCCAGCAGCACTACGCTTGGGACTCATCAACAGAGCTTTGTTTGTGACCATCGACATCCATCCGAACGATAAATAATGTAGCATTTGGGTGGACCACCACGCACCACGGCAGTCCACCTGCCCACCACCAGCCTCCAATCATTTCATTAGCACAGACCACGCGGGCGCAAGCCTGTTTCAGAGCCATCAATGAAGAACTTGGCTTGACCACCACGGCACCACGGGGCACTCCACCTGCCCAACACTAGCCCCCCCAATTATTTATTTTGCATAGGTCAGCAGCAGTCCTGCGTTTCATTCTGTGAAAGATCTATGTACAGCGTTCAACTGCTGTAGTTTAAGATTTTGGAACCAGGGGGATCCTTTAGAGCTTGCATGGAAGACCTATCAAACTACAACTCTAACCGAGAGTCTACACTTGTCATCCCGTAGGAGAGCCAATTACGGGGTATTCCAAATTCAGACCAACAATGTTTCCGCTCGTTCGCTGCTGTTGTGTCCTATTTGGTTGTCCTCTGTCGTCAGAACAAATTACTTGACAAGAGTTACAAAAATAGACCGCCTTCGACAGAACAGACAATATCTCTCTCATTTCATACCGCTGTGGCCCAAGTGTGGCCCGATAAGTGTGGCAACTTCCGATACGGTGGTGTCAAAATCTCTTTGTCACAATCTCAACATACATGTGCATGAACCCGATCTATCGAGTAGTGGCACTGCCCGGAATAGTGAAATGCGTGCCACTACGTCATCCGGTCACCCAACTCTTGTACGCTTGTTGTTGTTGTTGTTGTTGTTGTTGTCTTCACATTAAAAACCGTTCCGATCTCTCTCTACCCAGTACCTTCGTATGTCCGTACTGATCCAACACTCGACGCGGTCGATTCCCGTGGTCACAGCTTGTACCGCCGTTTGGTACAAACAAGCAGGTAGACTGTGATCCCAGACCGTGGTACGCATCATCAGGTACGCACATTCAGCTGCTGTTTTTTCTTCTCGCCCAACGGGTATATATCTCCTGCCCGTGATTTCACCCACGAGCCGATGGTGTACAGTGTCCTCTCACACCCTCTCCGTCCCTACAACCACCGACCAACCCTGCCGGAAGAAACAAGAACACTCCCCAGGTATGTAGGTACCTACGGTTAGGGATTTGGTGTTGCATTCTATTAAGGTAGTGTGTGCATGCATATCAACGAACGGCAGTCCGCCGTGGTGTCGTGGCCTATGCACCTCAGTGTACCTCGACTTCTGCCAGCTCTGAAAGTAGGCCGAAGTCGAGGAAGTTGTCGGCGTGTCGGGAGGTGGGTGGCTGCGACCGACCTTGGGGTCATAGCTCCCGCGCGGCGCGGCTACAGCAGTATTTTCATGAGCGCATGATTCCGTGTGTGTATACATCGCTGTGCCGTCAACTTGTCGAAACACTCCCCAAAGGCCTGACAACAGCAGCAGCAGCAGCAGCAGTCTTTTGGCGTGTAGCGATCTCCCTCCTACTGATTGAGAGTTAGTGTATGGCAGCGAGTGTTCGTCGATACCGCACTTTGCATCGATGTCAGTATCAGCAGTGCAAAGGCAAGGATCCTCCTCGTTGTTCTTGCACGGAAAGACGATTGATGATGTGCCTCCACACTGTAACGTTGGCAGAATTCTTGCTGTTCCAAAATCCAAGAAAAACAACACGGGGTTGCAATGCAATACATACGTAGCTCCGACATGGTGTCACGCCCGGCCACGACTTGGCTGGGCCGCTTTGTTTAGGGTCAGTAGACCACAGCAAGCAGTAGAAGAAATGCATCAATCAGGAACGGCAGAGGGGCGGAGAGCATGTATGCATTCCGTAGGGAAAAGGCTCTTCTTCCAGGAATGAATCCATATTCAAATTCTGGTTCGCATTTATCTGTCCGCGCGTAGGCAGGAACGCCGGCGGCGCCAGCGCCAGCAGGGGTAGCATTGGTGGCAGTGTCGTATAGACTCAGCCCTTGCTGTTTGTGATGGCTGGCCCTCTCTCAGAGCTGTGGAGCATCAAGCAAGTTGTCGGTGTGTGAGGTGGTCGTTGTCTGTTCGCTCTTGCGTGCACATTTTCCTACATCAATGCTACTGCTTCTGCTGTACACTAGACTATTAGTATTCGGCAACATAATTTGTCTCGGAGGAACCACCACGCCGAACTGGTCGGTATCAGCCATACGATATCTCGTTCTGGGCAAAACGGCAGAAATATATCATCCCCGTTCCTAGTCCCTACTACAGTATATTTGTTGTGTTGTACATATTCATTCAAAATGTGGCCCTGCGGCCCCGCAGTTTTTGTTGGAAAAAATCCCCTCAGCCTGTCTCAGCGTCTCAGCGTCTCAGCACAGGGGCCAGAACAAAACAAAGAAAATTAGCCGCATCTTGCCGCATATTTGTCTCTTCGCGAGGCTTTCTGCTACACCTTCCCAACACAACATATATGAGACACACAAGACAGCTACCAAACTGTTGTGTTGAGCCTGTTACCCGCAGGGGAGATGTCCCTATCTGCTGTCTGGGAAGTCGTAGACATTACAGGTGGCTTTTTCTGACGCTATGAATTCGTTGCTAATCTGTCTCTGACTCTTTTCTATGATCGAGATGGATTCGTTGTGTCATATTAAGAAGAAAAAAAAAAGAGTCAAGAGACAGATGAGCAATGAATTCATAGCGTCAGAAAAAGCTACCTGTATGTCTACGATTTCCCAGACAGCGTATAGGGACATTTCCCTGCGGGTAACAGGCTCAACAAAACAGTTTGGTAGGTGTCTTGTGTGTCTCATATATGTTATGATGGGAAGGTGTAGCAGAAAGGTGTTGGGTAGTCAGGCGTTTTGTGTGTGGCACCCCGTTACTCTTTTCTATGACAGAGATGGATTCGTTGTGTCAAGAAAAAAAAAAAGCTGGCGAAAAAAACAGTTGAAACTGTTTTTTCGGA